TAGGACGGGGAATCAATCAGTGACCTCCTGGTTCCTAGGTTGACGGTCAACCACTGAGCCATGCAGGTCGGGCTAAAAGATACATTTTTTTTTTTTTAAAACATATTTCCATGCGGCAGCGCTCCAGTTTCCTGCTTCCTCCCTGGTGGGCTGGTTAAAGAGATGCTGGCTGTTAACATGTTTTCACATAGAGCCAGGAACCTTTCTTTATTCTAAACAAAACAAGTCTTTTTTGAGCATCTATTACCTGCCAGGGACCTTAGGTCCTGGGGGATATAGCGGGAAACAAAATAGATACAAATCCTTTCTCTTACGGAGTTTACAGTCTAGTGGTGAGGGCAGATGGACAATGAACTCACATAAGCCACCTAAAGTAGTGTGTTCGATAAAAATAAAGAGGTGGGAGGCAGGCATTAAGTGGGAGTGAAGGTTTTGCTTGCAAGTTTACTATGGTTGGTGGGGCATCCCCCATGAGAATGGGACATCGGTTGAAAGACCGGATGCTGGGGGAGTCCTCAAAGGAAGAGCCAGGCCAGGCAGCATGCACAGCACATGCAAAGGTCCTGAGGTGGGAGTCTGCTTGAGCTGAAGGAGGTGGGAAGGCCAGTATGGCTGGAGCTGAGCAAAAAAAAAAAAAGAAAAAAAAAAGTCTGGAGTTGCAGGCAAAGGGAAAAAGCTCTCTTGAAGAGCTTGATAAGAGCGCCCCGACTGTATAATGGATTTGTAGCAACTAACTAGATATCTCTGGCCTTCAGGGCCAAAGGAGGCGGCGCGCCAAGCTTGGGACTAGCAGGCATTGGGGCGGGGTCCGGGAGGCCTCCATGGGGTCCTGGTTTTCCGGTGACTCCAGGGCATTAAGCCAGGCCCAGGGCCAGCCTTTCCCAAGTCAGCCACTCCTCACGCACGCCTGCCTCGACCTCGGCCGCGGGTCCCGCTTCTCCTCCAGGCGCCACACACGAACCTGGCCGCAGACCCCAGCGATCTAAACTGGAAGCTGGGTCCAGCCCACCTGCCCCGAGACGCCGGAACCCTCTCCGCGGCTCGCGCCGCCGAGACTTCTGGGAATTGTAGTTCGGACCCCCCCGCCCGCATGCACTTCCGGGTTCGGCCAGAAGCGCAGCCATTGTCTCCCCCGGAGACCCCCCCTGCCCTGGCTTGGACGCTCGCTGTCCTGGCGCACCTCGGCCCTCCCGAGGGTCTCCCCCGGCGGCCTCGCGAATACCGGGTTTGGGCGGGGACGGAACTGGCGTAGCCGGAGCCCGTCGTATGCAGCATCGGGATACGTGCTGGCTTCCCCGAGCCCGTCCCGGACACCTGAGGCTGGGACAGGCCTGCCCCGGGCGGCGAGCCCACAGACGCCCAGGTTGGTGCCAGCCGGGGCGGCGCTGGGTGTCCCGTGCGCGCACGGCATGGTCTAGGCGGGCAGCTGGAATGGGGGGTGTGGGTGGGCGGTCTGGGGGACCTGCGCGGCCGGCCCTTGAGCCTCAGGTCACCCGAGTTGGACGTACCGGTGCAGCCGGTTCCCGACTGTGCTCTGCGCGTGCGCGAGCGCTGTGTCAGGTGGTGCTCTTGGTCCAGGTTCGGAGGATGCTCAGGGGGATGGACGTCCGGCCCTGAGCTCGGGTGTTGGGGATGGGACATCATGAGAACCCCTCCTCCCCTCCCCCCATGCGAGGCTGGGCCTGTGTAGTGGAGGACCTGAGGGCCCCTGGGCTGATGAAGTGCTCACTCACTCGCAGATTCTGTTCCTGGAGGAGAGAGGGGCTGTATCAGGGTCCCCATGCCCTCGAGCTGGCGGCGTTTGAGTGGGAAGCAGAAAGTGGGGAGTGAGATTCTGGGCAGTTGGCTCTGGGACCCTGGAGCAGACTCTGCCCTTCTCCCAGGCCTGGGGCCGCCCTGGGGAGTGGAGAGACTGGGTGAGGTTGCAGATTCTTGCCCCTCGAGAGACACTGTCGCTTCAGCAAACTCTCAGTGGGATTGGCTGATGGACTGCAGACTCTCAGGAGGGAGGAGAGCCTAGAGCAGTGGTTCCCAACTTTTTTTTGGGCCATGAATCTCTAAAATCCTGATTCCTCCCTCCTACCCCCCATGATATACAATCTTTATTATTCCAAAAATGAACTCCTATTCACATGGAGGAAGCCTAAAAGGCTATTAACTTGGTCTAAACAAGCTTCCAAAGAACACGACATCATGAAAGAGAAAAATAAAAGAATGGAAGGACAGCTGAAGTACTGAGGAAGAAATCACTACGACATTGTTTAAAAATAATAATAATATGAAGTGATATGAGAAAACAGCAAAAAAAGTTTCAAAACATATAATAGAGAACCGAAATGCACAAATATGTCACCATCTATGTTTATACACTGTATACGAGACTCCTAGAAACATAAAAAATGCAAAAAACTTCACTGTTAATCACTCATTCTCGAATTGCCCCCCTTAAAAACCAAATTGCCCCCCCGTGTGGGGCGTGTGCCCCCATTGGGAACCACTGGCCCAGAGGCAGTATCTGGGCAGAGCTCCCTGCACGTGCTGGGCTTGGGTTCGGGGCCAGTTTCTCAGTGGGAGGCAGGGCTTGGGACTGGTAACCCTGGGACCCTCGTAGGACGGCACAGAGCCAAAGGCATCGGGTTTGGCGGAGAAGCTGGGCTGGAGGTGCACAATGGGAGCCCAGAAGGACAGAGCTGCAGCGGCTGCCATCAGATGGGCAGCTGGTTGGGGAGGAGGGGGGGAAGCAGGATGCTGCCTACATGATTATGAAGTAGGCGTTCCTGGGGCCTTTGCTCAGGGCTACTTTGCTTGCAGGCACGAGCAGATTCAGGTTGGTAGAGGGACACGGTGTGTGCTGCAGACTTAGGCGCTCATGTTTGGGTGGGGGGGAGTGGAAGGTCCAATTCCCATGGGAGCTGGTCTCTCATGGGCTTGACCACCCCAAGCCAGTGCTCAAGTCTGTGCTAAGCTAGTGTTTGTGTGTTCTGATGTTTGGGTGGCAGGTGACCCCAGAATGCTCACAGAGACTTGCAGGTCCCAGGTAGGTTGAAGCACAGAATGGGGGGGATGCAGATTCTCATCGCAAGAGCAGGGACTGCACAGACCTGCAGGCTGGCAGAGAGCCCGGGTACTGGATGCAGGTTCTGGGCATGAGCCTGCTCTGTGTGTGCCAGCAGGAGGAGGAAACCTGGGCGGGGGGGCCTCTGTGCACAGGCCCCTGCAAAGAGAGCCAGGTCATCCGAAACCGGTTTGGATAGAGCATCGGCCTGTGGACTGAAAGGTCCCAGGTTCGATTCCGGTCAGGGGCATGTATCTTGGTTGCGGGCACATCCCCAGTGGGGGGTGTACAAGAGGCAGCTGATCGATGATTCTCTCTCATCGATGTTTCTAACTCTCTATCCTTGTCTCTTCCTCTCTGTAAAAAATCAATAAAATATACTAAAAAAAAAAAAAAAGAGAGAGAGAGAGAGAGAGAGAGAGAGAGAGAGAGAGCGCGCGCCAGGTCAGGCCCCTGAGAGCAGAGGCCTGGGTGTCCCACGTTGGAGCTGGAGGTCTAGTTTGGGGGCTGCTCCAGCTGCCCTTGGCACATGAGCTGGCCTGTGGGCAGAGTGGGGAGGCAGGGGCAGCCCTAGGGCCCAGATACCGCCCGAGGATGCTCAGGTGGGTAGAGGGAGCAGCTGCAGATTCCGGGCGGCAGAGGGGTAGGGCTGTCCAGTCTCTGCGCACACACAGCTGTGTGAGTGGCGGCAGAGGGGTAGGGCTGTCCAGTCTCGGCGCACACACAGCTGTGTGAGTGGGAAACAGAGGCTGGAGGTGGGTATGAGATGAAGGGTGCTGGGGCCTTTGTGCAGGTGGCACCCCGGCCACAGCCTGCTGCTGCCTGGGTTGGTAAAAAGATGGGGTCTTTCTGAGCTGCAGGTGCCCACGGAGGTGTTTGGGCAGGAATCCAGGCAGGTGCGGCTCAAGTGGGGCCTGTGGAGGTTGGTGGAGGAAACGGTTTGGGTGCAGGTTCGGGGTACAGGTGCACTGTGGGCCGTACTGAAGTGTGTGAATGAGAACCCAGGAGGGATGGGAGGGTGAGAGAGAGGGAGAGGGAGAGGGAGAGGGAGAGGGAGAGGGAGAGGGAGAGGGAGAGGGAGAGGGAGAGACGCATAGCGTGGGATTTGCCAGGGGCTCTTCCATTCTCCAGCCCAGAAACATCCGGTTGGCACAGAGACACTGAAGCACACCTTCTGGGCCCGGAAGGGGCTGGCACACGCCGGGAGGCTACCAGGCCATGCCAGCTCGGTTGCCAGTTCAGGCCTGAGGACATCCAGGTTGGTCTCCAGGTCCGAGCTACAAATTCGGGGCCCAGGAGGGTTTGGGATGGGAACCCGGGCTAGCGCCGGCAGCGGCTGGCCAACCCCGGAAGGGTGGAAGGCCCGGTGCAGCTGAGCTCTGCGCACACGCTCGGGTATTCGGGCAGGAAGTGAGAGGCAGTCGTGACAGGTTGCTGGCTTCCTGCATGTAGCCAGGGGGTGTGATGTGGGGCCATGCATCCCAGAACCTTGCTGCTTGCCCTAGGAAGAGATGCTGGTTGGGGTACAGGCTTCAGGTTGGGGGAAAGGGGTCCTCGATGGGCCAGGTGTTTGAGGAGTTTCGGGACCCAGTGGGGAAGGGAGGGCTGATTGCGCTGCAGGTGGTGGGGGTGGTGAGGGCTGCGTTTGGGCATGGCCTGGCCTCACTGGTGCGGGATCCAGAGGCCCCGATAGGGGAGGACCGTTCGGAGCTGCAGAGTCCTGGCCTGGGAGAGGGACCGAGGACCTCCAGGTTCACGCACAGCTTTCCAGGCTGGCATCTGGGCAGGACCCTCCAGAAGCACACCTGTCATGGGAAATGCATCCCGGAAGCAGAGGCTAACCAGGGACAGGGTACCAGGGTGGACCTACAGGAGGGGGTTGTACTCAGGGTTTCTCCCTTTGCAACTCAGGACCTCAGGCCCCTGCCCGTGTGGGAAGGAGAGCATGGAGGAGCAGGAGGAGAAGCCGCCAGGGCCCCTGATGGAGGCCTGTACGCAGGTGAGTGAGCTTTCCTTCCCCTCGTCCGGAGGCCCAGAGCTGGATCCCGCCCAGGCCCCGCAGCTCCCAGGTCCAGAGGGTTGGGCTGCGGGGCCTGGGCGGGATCCAGCTCTGGGGGGCTTTTGGCCCCTCCTTACTAGCAGGCTCTTAACACTTGTACACGATGCATTTAATGAGGCTCCCTGCGTTTCTTCACCCTTCTCATCCGTATAACTCCTTCTGGGAGGACCTTGGCACCCTGGATCAAAAGCCCTTAGAATACGGAGTGCCCTGTGACCAGCAACTCATGGCTTTGCCTGAGAATGAGCGCTTGAAAGAATGTTTAAGGGGAGAGTTCGATGTGTTATGGTAAGAAAATGACATGGAGTACACTGCAGGCATTGATGTGATAATGCATGTTTACGACGTAAAAGGATGTTTGTGATCTAAATTAAGTCAGTAGCATTTAGAAATTACCACATTTTTTTATTTTTTAAAAATGTATTTTAAGTATATTTCATTTTAAAAAATATATTTAAATATATTTTATTGATTTTTTACAGAGAGGAAGGGAGAGGGGAAGGGAGAGAGATAGAGAGCTAGAAACATCGATGCGAGAGAAACATCGACCAGCTGCCTCCCTGCACACCCCCTACTGGGGATGTGCCCGCAACCAAGGTACATGCCCTTGACCGGAATCGAACCCGGGACCCTTCAGTCCGCAGGCTGACACTCTTATCCACTGAGCCAAATAGGTTCCGGCAATGACCACATTTTTAAAAAGGGGTGTGGTTTGTGTGTGTGCAGAAGGTGCGTTAGGCCCTGGCCGGTGAGGCTGTTGGTTGGAGCGTCAGCCTGTGCTCCAAGGGCTGCAGGTTCGATTCCCCGGTCAGGGCGTGTGCGGGAGGCAGCTGATAGTTGTTTCTCTCTCACATCGATGTTCCTCTCTTTCTCTCTCTCTCTTCCTCCCTCTCTAAAAAAAATCAATAAAAACTTATCCTTGGGCAAGGATTTGAAAAAGGAAAAAATATGTTAGAAGACAGTAAATATACCAGTTAACAAAGATCATCTGTACATTACTTTCCAGGTGACACTGTGTTTTTATTTATTTATCTACACTGTTGTACTTTTGTACAGTGCATAGGTTAAGAGATTACCAAATTAAATCATTTTCCTGAAGCAAATATTCTTTGAAAATATTTAATTTCTTTAAAATGTTAAATTAACTAATCGATGATTCTCTCGTTGATGTTTCTAATTTTCTATCCCTCTCCGTCTCTCTCTGTAAAAAATTAATAAATATATTTTTAAAAAGCCGAAACCGGTTTGGCTCAGTGGATAGAGCGTCAGCCTGTGGGCTGAAGGGTCCCGGGTTCGATTCCGCTCAAGAACATGTACTTGGTTGAGGGCACATCCCCGATGGGGGGTGTGCAGGAGGCAGCTAATAGATGATTCTCTCTCATCGATGTTTCTAACTCTTTATCCCTCTCCCTTCCTCTCTTTAAGAAAATCAATAAAATATATTTTAAAAAATAAATAAAATAAGATAAAATGTTAAATTAGGATTTCGCTTTCGCCTTCCTGAACTATGCAGTCCCGAAGCCAGTAAGTGGGGCAGAGCTGGGCAGGCCTCTGCACGTGAGGGAGGGCTCCAAGCTGTGGGGTGTCACGGCCTGGTCAGCGTGAGGAGGGCATCTCTGTGTGGAGGCATCGGGTGGGGCACGGAAGGGGTGTTAGGAGTCAGAGCCCAGGTAAGTGGAAGAGGGATCTTGTTTGGGGTGACGGGGCCAGAGCAAGTGAGAAGGGCATCCAGAGAGGAGCCCAGTGCAGTGAGGGCGCCAGCACGGGTATCAGAGCCAGAGCAAGTGACAGGTGCACCATGTGGGGACTGGGGCAGGGGGCGTACAGCTCGTGTGACGTGTCACAGCCTGAGCTGGTTGAGGTCATCCATGCATGAGAGTAGCTTGGCATGGAGTATCAGAGCCCAACCATGATGTCGAGGGCTTTTCAAAAAAACTTTTGTGCACGTGTACAAGGAAGCATATGCAAAAATAGTAATAGCAAAACACCGAACACTAAATAGCCATTAACAGTGTGTCCATAAAACCCACAGCATTCATGTAGAAGTCCAAATGGCATCAAAGTGTCACTGCTCCCAGGCCCTCAGAGTGGCCAGCATTAGGGAATATAGGAGTTTGTGCCCACACACACACACACACACACACACACACACACACACCACACACATTTCTTTCTGCATCAACATTCTGAAAGTCATGCGCCACATCAATACCTCCAATGCCCACTGGACACCAGTTCATTCTCTGGGCTTCCTCTGTTGCCAGGGAAACCCAAGCCTCCCGCTCTCTCCATGGCCGCAGCCATCTTGATTGGGTTAATTTGCATTCTCGCTCCTGATCAGCTGGTGGGCATGGCTTGTGGCTGTAGCACAGGTATGGTCAATCTGCATGTTGCTCTTTTATTAGATAGTATTAGAGGCCCAATGCATGAAGATTCATGCAAGAATGGGCCTTCCTTCCCTGGCTGCTGGTACCGCCTTCGCTCTGGCTGCAGCCAACTTTCTGCTCCAGCCTGTAGCCGCCTTTCCACTTTCCCACACTGCCCAGCGGCCTGGAGTGGCTAGGGGTGGTGCAGAAGCGAAGATGCAAGCATCCCACCCCGCCCCCAGCCGCTCAGGGCCTGCATATGCAAATTAACCCGCCATCTTTGTTGGGCTAATTTGCATACTGATTGGCTGGTGGGCATCATGAAGTTGTGGTCAATTAGCATGTTACTCTTTTATTAGGTAGATATAGATATTATAACTTTAAACCTACTTTTGCCCACTCCTGTATATATGTATAAGAAATACACAAAGCCCTGACTGGTTTGGCTCAGTGGATAGAGTGTCAGCCTGTGGACAGAAGGGTCCCAGGTTCAATTCCAGTCAAGGGCATGTACTTTGGTGGCGGGCACATCCCCAGTGGGGGTGTACAGGAGGCAGCTGATTGATGTTTCTCTCTCATTGATGTTTCTAACTCTATCCCTCTCCCTTCCTCTCTGTAAAAAATCTATATCTATATCTATATCTATCTATCTATCTATCTATCTATGAAATACACATACACAACACTCTTAGGAGTTACCTGGTTTCAAAGTGATTTTTCAAGAGAAAAATATTTTTGCTGGTTTCTGATAAGGGAAATAAGTGTTATTAAAAAATAGATACAGTATTAAAACATAGACTGTGAACCTGCTCCTCAATTCTTTCCTTCCCAAAATAACTGCTTTTAATGCTTTGGAGATTTTCCTGACTTTTTTGTGTATGCTTATATTCTGTAGAAATCTATTCATATTTTATAGATTTTTTTTTATTCAACAATGTGTTATTCAACATCTTTCTGTCAGTTTAGGCAAATTTGTCTCTTCTCTCGACTGCTACATAGTTTTCATTTATCTGGATGAAGCATCATTTATTTAACCAGGCACTTACTAATGGACATTATTTAATGCATCCTCCCATTTAGCTAGGATAATGTAACCCTTTAGTGAGTTTTCTTGTACATATATACATCTAAGTGTACTTTCTATTATTTGCTAATGAAGTACAAGTAGACTTATTGGATAGTATATTATGTTAAAAATATTCCCATTAAAAAGATAAAAATAGCCGAAACCGGTTTGGCTCAGTGGTAGAGCGTAGGTCTGCGGACTGAAAGGTCCCAGGTTTGATTCCGGTCAAGGGCATGTACCTTGGTTGCAGGCACATCCCCAGTAGGGGGCGTACAAGAGGCAGCCGATCGATGATTCTCTCTCATCTATGTTTCTAAGTCTCTATTCCTCTCTGTAAAAAATCAATAATATATATATATTTTTTAAAAAGATAAAAATAAAAGCAGAGTATCTACAAAAACTGACAAAATCTGAAAAAAAGTGTGTGCCTGAGTTAAAAATACTGTACCAATATCAGTTTCCTAATTTTGACAATATACTGTGGTTGTGTTAAATCTAGCATCAGCGGATGCTGGGCTAAGGGTACATAGGATTTCTTTGTTCTATTTTTGCAACCTCTTACAAGTCTTAAACTATTTCCAAATAAAATGTTATTTCAAAAATAAATTGCTACCCTGGCTGGTGTGGCTCAGTTGGTCGAGCATCATACAATACACCGACTGGAGGCAGGTTCAATTCCCAGTCAGGGCACATACTCAGCTTGCAGGTTCGATTCCCAGTCAGGGTGCATATGGGAGGCAACTGATCAATGTCTCTCTCTCTCCCTCTCCTTTCCTCTCTCTCTCTCAAGTCAATAAAAACAAATATATATATATATATATATATATATATATATATTGCAAGTCCAGCCCTGGCCAGGTGGCTCAGTTGGTTGGAGCGTTGTCTTGTGCACCAAAATGGTTTCAGATTCAATTCCCAGTCAAGGCACATACCTAGGTTATGGATTTGATCCATGGTCAGCACCCTGGTTGTGAACAGGAGACAACCAATTGATGTTTCTCTCTCACAGCAATGTTTCTTTTTCTCCCTTCCTCCCTTCCCCACCCCTCTCTCTCTCCTATCAGTAAAAACACATCCTCAAGTGAGGATTATATATATATATAGCCAGTGCAGAAAGGTTGGTCAAGTTAAGCTTCCACTAAGAGTATAAGAAGCTCTTGACTAGTGGGCCACCACAGGAGGAATTGTGAGCACTGCACATGGTTGGGATTTTGGCTATATACAGGGGCTTTGAGCAAATCAGTATATTTAAGTGAATGTTGGATGCAGGAGAAGGAAGGTGTCAATACGGAAAACAGGAAAGCTAGAATAAAATGTGTTGAATTATAATTGGAGGTACCAGTGTGAATTGATGGCCTCTAATGTATAGAGAGATAATGATAGAAATAGAGACTTGGCTTTATCTGGTTTAACGAGGTGAGCATCCTTTTGTATGTTCACTGGCTGTTTCATTTCTTCATAGTTGAGCTGCACAGTCTTTTCCTTTGTCCATTTCTTAGTGGTGCCTACCTTTTCCTCACCGATTTGGAAGAAGTCTTCACAGTAGATCTTGTATTGCTGTTGCCTTTATTGATGGTGCTTTATGCCAAACATTTCATGAAGTTAATTTATTGATTTCCCCCCCTCGATCATTCTTTGGTCATGCTGTATTCTGTCTTACTTGCTTACAATTCTGAGGTCCGGCAGGGACCAGCTGGACATTTCTTCTACGTAGTGCCTGGGGTCACTCACTCGGCTGGCACCGGGCTGGCCTGGAAGGTCCGCAGAGACACAGGTGTGATGTTTCAGTGACCTGCCAGACACCCCTCCACCCCTACCCCCACGGGACTCACTTGAGCTTACCAAGGGGAGGGAGCAGGAGCTTGGTTGGTGGGATGCATTAAAACAGGTGCTACGTCAAATCCTAGCCTGATTACAATGAGCTTTGAGCTGTGATGGAGCTCCCTTTAATTTCCTTTCTCTCACCTGTTTTACTTTCTCAGGACTCTCTCCTTCCTCAAGAAATTATCATCAAGGTCGAGAGAGAAGATTCTGGGCCAATGGCTGTCCCATCCCAGGTGAGTTGGACCCATGGCCTCTTTACATTAAGAAATGTGTGTGGCCGAAACCGGTTTGGCTCAGTGGATAGAGCGTCGGCCTGCAGACCGAAAGGTCCCGGGTTCGATTCCGGTCAAGGGCATGTACATTGGTTGCGGGCATATCCCCGGTGGGGATTGTGCAGGAGGCAGCTGGTCGATGTATCTCTCATCGATGTTTCTAGCTCTCTATCTCTCTTCCTTCCTCACTGTGAAAAATCAATAAAATAAAATTTAAAAAAAAAAATGTGTGTGACTGGTTGGTAGCAGAAGCCAGATTGAAGTGAACTGGGAAGTGAGTAGAAAGTGATGGAAATGGAGATAAATTCACAGAAACTTGGTGATCGTGTGAAAGACTGAAGAGAGTGATAGCTGTCAGGACATTTGAAGTTGAGGGCTTTTAAATTTTTTTTTCTTAAAGAATTGGAAAGATATGACTCATGGGTGTTTGCAGGAAGGAATTAGTGTGGGGGAGGGGAGTTAATGGTCAGGAGAGAGAGAAGATAAAACTATAAAGCAGAGTCCTTGATCAGTGCCAGGGGAATTAATTCAGAGTGTATGTGAGTAAATGGCTCTCCAGAGGAAGGACTCATAAAGGACTAATGAGACTGAGTTATGTGAAAGCTTAGTTTTGCCTCTGAAGTTCCAGTATCTATTGGCTCTGAGGGTGGGGATTGGAATGGAGTGACATTTGACATGTGTAGAGAAGTCTTAAAGTAGTAGTTTTGGATTATGGGAGAACATATCAGGGTTGCTGGAGGATCTGAAGGGATTATCTGAAGTGACCATTAATTGATAACACTATCCAGCTGCATCTGCACATTTCTTCTCTCCTAAAGGGGAGCATTCTGTAACCTACTTTCCATAGATGGTAGATTGACATTCAGATTGGTTTAGTTTTTGCAGTCACAAGCATTCAGTGGAAGCCCCCATAGGTCAAGGTAATATTTGAAAGAGAATTTTTTAATATTAAATAGGATTAAAATGAATGATCTCCAGACTCTAAACTGAATAATTAAGACAGAAAAATTAAAAGAGGATACTAACTAGAAAGGAAAAGAATATAGACTAGTGATAGATAGTAATAGTAGACATGTCAATAAAGTAATGGCTTCAAGGATGAGAAAGGTAAAGGGAGTAATTGAACAAGTAAAGTGGAGAAGTTGCCAGAGAGGATGTGGTTGGGGGGGCTGGGTATAAAAGGCGAAGAGATTGAGAATAGATTAGTAGTTACAAAATAGTCACAATATAAAGTACAGCATAGGAAATATAGTCAAAAAATATTGTAACAATTCTGTATTTCCAGTGCCAGGTAAGTGTGTGCTGAAAATACTGTGGGGACCACTTTGCGAAAAGTATATGATTGTCTAACTACAATGCTGTACATATGAAACTAATACAAAACAACATTGGATATAAACTGTAATTTAAAAAAATTAATCTGATGTTGTAATAAAAAAATAGTAATGTGCCGAAACCGGTTTGGCTCAGTGGATAGAGCGTCTGTCTGTGGACTGAAGAGTCCCGGGTTCGATTCCGGTCAAGGGCATGTGCATTGGTTGCGGGCACATCCCCAGTGGAGGGTGTGCAGGAGGCAGCTGGTCGATGTTTCTCTCTCATCGATGTTTCTAGCTCTCTATCCCTCTCCCTTCCTTTCTGTAAAAAATCAATAAAATATTTTTTAAAAATAGTAATGCGATATAATCAAAGAGTAGGCCGTTCTATGTGTGTGGTTTGAGAGGTAGAATGTTTTGTTAGGTCTGGAGTCTCACCCTAAGAGTGGGGTGCTGAAGAGCACTTTTAGGGTCTGGAAGTTTGGCTAGCCATGTGAATTGATGACTAAGAACACAACCTCTGATGTCAAGCAACCATGAGGTTGTAGACCAGCTACCAACTTTATATGTTAATTTCTCTAGTTCTTCATCTGAAAAATTGGTGTTACTAGTAGAATTTTCTCACAAGAACCTAGTGAGAATTGAATGATAATTTGTGTCATGGATAAGCACAATGCCTGGCACTACACAGTAAGTGCTTCCTTAAAGTCAGTAATTTTTGTAGTATTATCAGAGAACTCTACGAATGGATGCTATAGACCAGTGATTTTCAACCAGGGTGCTGCTGCAGGCTCATTGGTGTGCCATAAGAATTTTTAAAACATACAATATCTGACTATTTAGTCAGGGGCACTGACTTTTTTTCCCTTAGATTGTCATATTAAAAACTGACAACAGCCAAAACAATAGCCATCCAGTGTGAATGCCCTATCTTGAACCATAAATATATAGGTCATATAATAGAGTTATATCTTATTGGTCACGTTGCACAGTAAGGTTGTGATTAGTTTATATATATATAAAGTGACTTTTTAAAAAAACAGTAAGGTTGTGATTAGTTAATATATATATATATATATATATATATATATATATATATATATATATATATATATAGTGACTTTTTAAAAAAACAAATAAACAGGTATATATATATATATATACCTGTTTGTTTGCTTTTTAAAGTCACTTTGGAGCAAAAAGGGTAGGTAATTACTATTATTTTTTGTAAGTTAATAAAATTATATTCTTTTTGTCAGATTGTCAAAAATGTAGTATATTTTTTGGTGTTCCTCACAATTCTAGTAATAGTTTGTATGTGCCATGAGATGAAAAATATTGAAAATCACTGCTATAGACAATGGAAGGTGAAACAATTTCAAGTTCTTGAAATGAGGAATGAATATTGGGTATTATAAGTCTTCAGGGGATGATCATGGTGGTTCCAGAGGTTGGTAGGACAAAACTCTTAAGAAGTATGGTAAGTGATAAGGGTTTCAATGTAATTGGGAGGACTCACATCACTCCTCTCCACCCCCGCACCCTTGGATGGGGGAGCATGACCACCCCAGCCTGGGAGATCTGTGGAGGAAGGAGTCCACAGGGGGGAAAGGTAGGTTTCTATTAACGCAGGGATGTAGAGGGAATATTCAGTGAAGATGTTGAAGCCGTAGGATTTCATTATTATAGCAGATGTGTTCCCAGGGACACAGTGGAAAGGTTTGAGAAGGACTTTGGAGGAGTGAGGATTTGGGGCCAGGTGAGACAGAATAGAGTAAGTAGGGATAGTAGTTCAGAAAAGCCAGTATCCACATATTGAAGGACTTTTTTCAAGTAGATATGTGATAGGCCCTTTGCATTTCAGGTGAGAGGAGAAGACCTAAATCAGAATTTGGACCAGACTCAAAACACCAGTCAGAAAGAATGTATACACCTCTATGTTCATAGCAGCATAATTTACAATAGCTAAGATCTGGAAACAGCCCAAGTGCCCATCAATAGATGAGTGGATAAAAAGCTCTGATGCATTTATACCATAGAATACTATGCAGCAATTAAAAAAAAAAAAAAAGGAATTATTTTTAACCTATGAGACAGCATGGAGGGACCTGAAGAATATTATGCTAAGTGAAATAAGCCAGTCAAAAGAAAGACAAGTATTACATGATCTCATTCATATATGGAATCTAATGAACCAAGTAAACTGATGATCAAAAATAGAATAAGTCATAGAAGCATAAACAAACTGTTGAACTTCAGAGAGAAGATGGGGAGGGTAGGTGGGTGGGTGGGAAAAGATCAACCAGTGAACTTGTATGCATATATACATATACTGTGGACACAGACAATAGGGTGATGAAAGCCTGGGGTGGGCTAGAAGGGTTAATGGGGCAAGTGGATTTATGTAATGCTTTCAACAATAAAGATTTAATTTTTTAAAAAAATATATTTTATTGATTTTTTACAGAGAGGAAGGGAGAGAGATAGAGAACTAGAAACATCGATGAGAGAGAAACATCGACCAGCTGCCTCTTGCACACCCCCTACCGGGGATGTGCCCACAACCAATGTACATGCCCCTGACCGGAATCGAACCTGGGACCTTTCAGTCCGCAGACTGACGCTCTACCACTGAGCCAAACTGGCTTCGGCAATAAAGATTTAATTTTTAAAATATAGACTTTGGATCAGGATTATTCAGGTCTTTTATTTAATTATAAAGTCTATTAATTCTATTGATTAATATATTGATATAATTTACCAAATATAGATTTAGTATTTACTGTACACCAACAGTGAATATGCTAAGCACTGGAGTTACAGTAGCAAACTATAAATACATTCTACTTTCCTTCACGGACTGTAGCCTACTGACAAATTGACCATTATGCAAATGATAAGAAAGTGTGGAACTTCGAGAACATTTAGCTGGGATGGAGTGGGAGGTGCTAGTCTAGTATTATTTGATATTTGAACAAGCTTGAATAGGTACCTCATTAAATAGCAAAAAAGAGTGCATATTTATTAAAAGGAAACATGGAATAGAGGTTAGAATATAGAATAGATCCATATAGAATAGAATAGATCCATATTCAATAGCAGTTACAGTTTGCAAATGACATTTCTCAATCCCATTTTGGGCTAATCATTAAAACCTTTGAGATTTTGGTGAAATGTTTGACCCCAACATAGAAAAATGCAGAACAGCAGCATTTCGCTTGGAGTTTCTTGGGACTCACAGACCTTGTATCCTATTCATGAATTTCAGCTTAATAAAATCTGGTCTGTTTTAAAAACCTTTGGTGGCTGGTGACATTCAACTTCCCTGGCTTTTGCTGCCTTTGGATAAAGACAGGTCACCCTCAGCACTTCTTTTTTTTTGGATCAGAGTTCCTGCCCAGTAGTTTTGGAAATAGGTACTTTCCTGCTCAGAGGAGGCAGTGCTTTTTATATGGCAGTAATGCCCGAACATCTCCTGAAGGCTCTACAGGGCAGGTCTGTGTAGACAAATAAGACTGTCATCTGAAGACTAAAGGTCACATTGGCTGTCATTTAATTTCTCAGGGTTTTCAGACAATAATAATTGCTAATGTGATTATATTCATCATCACAATTGACTCAGCAACCCAATGAGTTGGGTATGATTAAGCCTAATAAATAGAATAAACTCACCATTAATATACAGATTGTCATATTAGATTTATTTTTTTTAATTCAGACATATACTATTTACAGTTGAGAAAAACTAAGTCTCTTTTATTCCAAATTCAGTGCTTTTAACCTCCACCTCATTTCATCTTCTACTTCATGCATCAGCAAAGGAGAGCCTGGAGCCAAATGCAGCCTACTACCTGTTTGTGTAAATAACATTTTATTGTGATACAGCTACACCCATTTGTTTATCTTCTATGGCTGCTCTCTTGCTACAGCTGAGTAGTTGTAACAGACTGTATAGTTTGAAAAGCCTAAAATGTTTACTCTTTGACCTTTGATAGAAAAAGATTACTGATCCTTGTTCTGTTAGTTTCTTGGTAATTTGGAGGAAATTCTTATGTGGGAATTCTGTATACCAGTTCAAAGATAGAAGTAAGCATTTTCTTTAAGGCGACCAAGAGAGAAATTGTATATTAGTTCTTTTTTTTTTTTAATATATTTTATTGATTTAGGTCAAGGGCATGTACATTGGTTGTGAGCATATCCCCAGTAGGGTGTGTACAGAGAGGAAGGGAGAGAGATAGAGAGTTTGAGAGAGAAACATCGATCAGCTGCCTCTTGCACACACCCTCCTGGGGATATGCCCACAACCAATGTACATGCCCTTGACTGGAATTGAACCCGGGACCTTTCAGTCCCCAAGCCGACGCTCTATCCATTGAGCCAAACCGGTTTCAGTTGTATATTAGTTCTTATCTGGTGTTTCTCTTTGGGGTTGCAAAACAGATCCAGCATCCAAAACCCAAAAGGACTCACCTAGAAGACACATGTGCTCCTTGACTAGAATTCTTTGAATGCTGACTATCTCAGTACATCGAGTTTCCTTTCTGCCATCTGTCAAACTTTTCTTCCTCTATGAACATTAAAGGGAAATGATGCCCAGCTGAGCAGGAATGTGTGTCCTGTTTTAGGAAGGAGTAAACTTCAAAATTGTGACTGTGGACTTCACTCAGGAAGAGGGCATTTTGAACCCTGCTCAGAGGACCCTGGACAGAGATTCGATCCTTGAGAACCACAGGGACTTGGTCTCTTGGGGTAAGAATATGGTCCCCAATTTATTAAGAAGTCTGTATGTTGAAATTATTTCTTATTGACTGAGAATTTTGCAGTTGAGAGGTAAAAATGGCTTTGGACACACATAGATTTTGTTTGTGCTTTTTTATTCCCAGGTGAAATTTAAATTTAAATTTAAATTTGTAGGGTAGAAAAGGTTCAGTTTCTTTGGGTTGAGCTTGTTTAATCTTCATGATTCCAAAGACCAAAAAACTGGGACCAAATTTTGCAGTAATTTTCCTTGTCTCCAGCTCAGGCACCCAAAGTCCTGTATCTTTCAAACCAGACACAATTTCCTACTTGGAGCAACTGAATGAGTATAAAAAGAATTTCCCAACACTCATATCCTGGTGAGAAACAGTCACAAAGGAGTTATAGGTACAGAAGATTAGTTTGAAAAATCCCGATAGAGCATGCCACATTTTTCTTCATTTCCCATCTCCTAGTGGATTATATACATCACAACTTTTCCAGATACTCTTTAATGCTTGACTTAGCCAGCCAGGCTTCTGCTTATGAGCTAACCTCCATTCTCTCTCATTTGGAATCACAGGGATCCATGGGGACATATTAACCCTAAGGCATTTAGGGAACTCTGGGATAACAGTGTCTGCAATTCTTTTTTCTGGTTCACTGTTGTAGTTTGTTAATGTCTTACTGACATAGACTATGCTAACAAGTTTCATGCTTTCAAAAATTCCTATAAATGTAGACACTAATTTCTATTTCATTGAACATGTGTTTAGCACTAAAGAGGGTAGAAAGGACACTTTATTACTTTGCTAAGAATTGCAAAATTCTTTTGTGATTCTTTTAGTTTATATAAGTGATCTTATTTTGGAACAAGAAGATTTTGATTTGGTATCTAAAGTCTTATATATTCAGTAAAACTATGATCAAATTATTCCATTTTAATGCCATGTTATACTATTGGGCTGTGGTAGTTTTCAGCTTATTACTTCATCCTACCCTCTTTATTCTCAATCCAGATTATAATAGCTGAAAACAAATCTACATTTATTTTGCATTCTTTCTTGTTACCTTTATTTCACTATTCCAACATGTTTTGGCTAGGATATTTTATTTTGCTTTCTTCCAGACTTGGCAACTGCATTTGGAAGAAGAGAATCAACATCAAAGCCGAGAATTATTGATGATGAACCATCCCATGGAGTGAAATTAGAAAGGCTGACAAGAGATGATCCTTGGTTATCTTCATGTGAAGAAGTTTGGATTTGTAAGGACCAGTTGGAGAAGCAACAGGAAAAACAAGAAAGACTTTTTAAGAAAGTGGCATTCTTTCAAAAGAATGCTATTACTTGTGAGAGAGTCTGCAAAAGTGATGAACTTGAGGAAAAGAGTTATTTGAATTCCAGTTTTCTTTCACCCCAGAAGATACCTGTAAGAAACCATTTCCATAAACATGTCTCTCATGTTAAAAACTTACATCATTCTCTTGTGGACAGTCATCAGATGATTAGTGACAATGAGAAATTATGTGAAAATAATGAATATGGAAAAACCCAGAGCATTCACCTTATTCAATTTACAAGAACTGAGACAGAAGATAAATCCTGTGGGTTTAGCAACAATATTCAATCTTTTAGCCATAGTACACCTGTAAATATACATGAGAAAATACATACAAGAGGAAAATCCTTTGATGTTAAGGAATGTGGGCAAGTTTTAAACTATAGCATATCCCATAATGAACAACAGAAAATTCCTATTGAATATAATTGTAGTAAAATCTCTGAGAATTCATTTCTTGCTCCAAACATGAAAAATTCTGAAGAGAAACCCTTTGAATGTAACCAATGCAGGAAATCTTTCAACTGGAGCTCTCATCTTGCTGCACATCAGAGAACGCATACAGGGGAGAAACCTTATGAATGTAATGAATGTGGGAAATCCTTTAGTCGGAGCTCTCATCTTGTTTCCCATCAGAGGACTCATACTGGAGAGAAACCTTATAGATGTAATCAGTGTGGGAAATCCTTTAGCCAGAGCTACGTCCTTGTTGTGCATCAGAGAACTCATACTGGAGAAAAGCCTTATGAATGCAGTCAGTGTGGAAAGTCATTCAGGCAGAGCTACAAGCTTATTGCACATCAAAGAACTCATACGGGAGAGAAGCCCTATGAATGTAATCAATGTGGGAAATCATTTATCCAGAGCTATAAACTTATTGCACATCAAAGAATTCACACTGGAGAAAAACCCTATGAATGCAACCAATGTGGAAAGTCTTTTAGTCAGAGTTATAAACTTGTTGCCCATCAGAGAACACACACAGGAGAAAAACCCTTTGAATGTAATCAATGTGGGAAATCTTTTAGCTGGAGTTCCCAGCTTGTGGCACATCAAAGGACTCATACTGGAGAGAAACCCTATGAATGTAACGAGTGTGGAAAATCTTTCAACCGCAGTTCACACCTTGTTATGCATCAGAGAACTCATACAGGAGAAAAACCCTATGAATGTAGTCAGTGTGGCAAGTCATTCAGCCAGAGTTATGTTCTTGTTGTACATCAGAGAACTCATACTGGGGAAAAGCCCTATGAATGCAGTCAGTGTGGGAAATCCTTTAGGCAGAGTTCATGCCTTACTCAACATCAGAGAACTCATACTGGGGAGAAACCCTACGAATGTAATCAATGTGGGAAAACATTCAGCTTGAGTGCTCGACTTATTGTACATCAAAGAACACATACTGGAGAGAAACCCTTTACATGTAATCAATGTGGGAAAGCTTTCATTAATAGCTCTAAACTTATTAGGCATCAGGCAACTCATACTGAAGAGAAACCCTATGAATGTAACTAGTTTGAGATTTTTTTTAGCCAGAGTATATTCCTTCATTTCCTCCTCCCTTCCAAGGAAACATATGTATGGGAAAACATGGATAAGATTAATTAATGTATGCAGAAAAAGATTTCTAATAATCCTATTATGTATCTGGAAATTTGTTCTGGAGAAGAAAGGAGGAACTATAGATCACATTTTTTAAAAATATATATGTTTTTACTGATTTTAGAAAAGCATCAATTGGCTGCCTTCTGCACACCCCTACCGGAGATTGAGCCCACAACCCAGGCATGCATCCTGACTAGAATTGAAAAGGTGACCTTTGGGTTCATGGGACAATACTCAACCTGCTGAACCACTCCTGTCAGTCAGGTTCTCACATTTTATTTAAAAATTCTGCATACAAAATCAGTCTTTATGAAACCTTCTGAGCAAAAGTAATACATTTGGCACTTTTCCTTGCAGAAAGCACTTAGAAAGAATTGCCATTAAATGGACAATATGCTGTGGAGTGATTGCCAATAATATAGACCTCTTTTCCAATAAAAAGTAGCACTGGTGGTGGTGGTGAGCAGGTTGAAAAATTACTGTGGTTATTAGAAATTGGGTTGGAAAACAGTAGTTCAGTGTACCATCTGACAACATGATTTATTCACTAACTTTTATATTCTCCTTCATGCAGTACTTTCTCTTATACAGAGGGTTTTGTAAAAATTGGGAAAATCACTATGATGCAAAATGAAAAATGCAGGACAAGAGTTTGGAACATTTATTTCTAGAACCATTATGATAAGATATTTATGTGTGGATCAAAATTAAAAGGGATTCTAGGTGTGTCTACTGTATTTTCCAGTGTATAAGACAACCCCCTAATTTTACAGTTAAAACATAGGGTTAGGCCTATATTCACTGTATAAGACTACCCCCCACTTCAAAGAAAAGACTTACTTTGCCGTCAAGATCTGCAGGTAATTTTTGTGCAATTTTGGTCTTTTGCCCCCTATTTTCAGTTGACTTTTTTTTGTTTCAAAAGTCATCTTATACACCAGAAAATATGGTATTTAGTTTTAGGTTTATGCTTGGCCTTTTTGAATGCATACTATTTTGATATAATAAGTGATCTAATGAGTAAAAAATTAGTCAAAAGCAAGCAAGAAAGATTTATTTTCATTTTCTTTGAACATTTAGGAAAGACCAGACAGCTAGATAACAGATACTCCTCAGGATTCTGAAGTTTCATTGGATTAATATGATCTGGACACTTGGGTAGAACCTAGAGTCAGGAATACTCCTCATTGAAAATGAAATATTCTCATGGGAATATGGTACTGGAACTTTAGGCCAGGAAGAATTTTATGTATCGAGACTTCGTTGCATGGGGAGTGTAAGAACAGGTGGGTTTCTTTGCCTCCCCCCACCCCATATAGATTATCTTTTTTCCTTGAAATATGTTTCTTTTTAATATATTTTTATTGATTTCAGAGAGGAAGGGAAAGGGAGAGAAATATAGAAACATCAATGATGAGAGAGAATCATTGGTCAGCTGCCTCATGCAAGCACCTGGGGATTGACTTTGTAACCTGGGCATGTGCCCTTGACCAGAATCAAACCCAGGACCCTTTAGTCCACAGGCTGATGCTCTATCCACTGAGCCAAACCAGCTAGGGCTGAGATATGTTTCTTAATATGAGAGTGTTCTGAATGGGAAGGCACTGCCCTGGCTAAGTGCTCATCACCTAAATTAAGCTCACATGAAAGCTTTTATGGAGGTAAAATTGGTAGCTTCTCATTGATTTTTCCCCCCCCTTAGATTGGGTTCACATGTCTTTCTGACCTTTCCTCCTAAATCATGAATTTTAATTCTATGGATTATAGACCTGGAACCTCTAATCCCAGAGTTAATAAAAAATAATAATAATTTTGATAGTTGAAGTGAGAATAGAGGTAAATTCCCTGGAGGAAGAAAAGGGTAAAGTGACATCTAATAAGGGGTTTTCCTTGTAAAATATGTTCCTATAACATGACTTTAACTGGATCCATTTCTTTCTTTTTTTCCAATCAATCTTTATTGTTCATATTATTACAAAAGTTACTCATTTTTTCCCCCTTCCACCAGGTTTCCATCCTACCTCTGCCCTTTTCCCACCCCCCCGTTGTCCTCATCCATAGGTGCACAGTTTATGTTCAGTCTCTTCCCGCATCCACCACTCCCCTTTTCACCAAGAATTGTCAATAACTGGAGCCATTTCTGAGGATTAAGTCAGTTGAAACACACCTGGTAGTGATTGAAGTTCTGGGAGAACAAGTGTTAATGGCTGGAAAACTGGCTCCTCACCCCAAGAGAATCTTCAGTTAGTCCATAACTGTACAGATAGTGGGACACAGGGATTCTTCATGCATTGCCTTTTGGAGAGGACATAAAATTGTGAAAACTCTAAGTTAGAAAGAAAAGAAAAAATTCTAAGTTAGCAATGGGACATTATTAGCCACCTCCCTCATTATTATCTCTCTGTATATAAAAGGCTAAGTGACCATCCGATTGGTCACTAATGAACAGGGGGAAGACTCAACACAGGAGCTGCCGAGCTGCAGTGACTTGGCAGTTCTCAAGTGATGCACCTCAGAACCAGAGAGGAGGGAGTCCTATTCTGAGGTGGGTCACCCAAAAACTGCCATCTTGCAATCCAGGATCCTTTGGAGGATGTTGGAGAGCCGGTTTCGGCCCAATCCCCACAGGGCAGGCGGAGGGACCCCATCTGCTGGAGGGACCCTGCTCACTTCACAGACACCCTTTGAGCTGTGGTGCCGCCCTAGCTGTGACCAGCTGGGGAGGGGCTCTGGGAGGTTGGCTCCAGGGCGTGTCTGGCCCCTCTTGTTCAGTCTCGCCCCACTGGCCACCTTATAATTAATTTTCTTACATTGTGCACAAATCTGTGCACCAGGACACTAGGTATAAATAAAATCAATGCTAATGCTAGGTACAAGTGGATTATTTTCTCGGACATGTTGAATTTTACTTTGAAGGGAAGGAACTATGATTTTACAAATACATATAAAGCTAGGTGGCCTAAGAAGAAGGACCATGAAGATTTCAAGTTTGGTAAGTGATTTATTGCAAAGTAATCTCTTGAGTAAATGTTAAAAACATTTCATTGAAAATGAAGTTTCTGAAATGGCAAAAATTTTTTGAATGGAGTATGTGTCTGGCTATGTGTGTGTTTTACTGGCCAGGTTGAATATGTGAGTCATCTTCTGTTTATTATATCAGTTCCTAGATGGTGATTTGTGGTTGCCAAGTATTTTGATTAAGATATATTCAATAAATAAAAATAAAAATATTAATTTCTGTCATTTTCCCAATAATTTTCCTTTATAGGAAAGATAGTCTTTTAATTAAAAAATGGTCAACCAAAAATGCTTCAGTAAAAATAAGCTTTGGTCACTGAGCCATTTCAACCGGGCAGTTACAATTCTATTCACTAGTTTTGCAATGTAAAAAGAATTAGAGAGAATATTAAGAGGCTCTTGGAAATCCTGCAGTGCAGCCTTAATAGCTTCTAGTTCAATTTTTTGTACAGAAATATAACTGGTCAGTATGACTTGGTCTGAATTCATTGTATGATAGGCAGCTTTCCCATTAGATAATCCATCAGTAAAAACAGTTAAAGCTCCAGGAATAGGTTCCTGCCTAGTATTTTTTTTTTATATATATGATGATGGAGATATTATATAAAAATTGTAGTAATTTATCTTTTAATAGGTGACATCTAAGTTCCCCTGAATATCCACTTAACCCAATTTGCCAATTTATATCAGTCTGAAATAACATTTCTAATTGCTTCCCAGTGAGGGGGAGGTAGATACACTGGGGCTCTTCCCCTCTAAGCTGTTTACAATGCTTTCTAATTTGAAATATTAACCGAGCCAATAGTTCTATATATATAACTTCAGTTTTAGAGGATTGATGCCCTAGGTCAGTAGTTGGCAAACCGCGGTTCGAGAGCCACATGCTTGAGTGTTCTAATGCCACTTCTTCAAAATAGTGGCCCAGGCCGAAAACCAACTTCTGCACATGGGCCACAAAGTTTCAGTCGCACTGTACGTGTGTGCCCACATGCGGTAATTTGTGGAAGAGCCACCCTCAAGGGCTAAAGAGCTGAATATGGCTCTCGAGTTTTCCGACCACTGTCCTAGGTGAACCCATTCAATAATGGCCGAAGAGTTTTTATTTTGAAAGATGACTCCAGTGGGACTATTTGCAGTAGGGTTAATCTGTCCCAATAAAGGAAATTCAGGCTCTACCCATGCTCCTTGGGCTAAGGAAATTGCCTGCTCAACTCTCAGGACTCATTATTAGCTTCATCTGTTAATGTTCGGGGAGAGGAAAGTTTGAGTCACCTCTAAGTATATTAAATAAATTTGTCATTTCTCCTGTAGAGATTTCCAGATAAGGTCTTAACCAGTTAATGTCCCCTAATAATTTCTGAAAGTCATTTAAAGTTTTAAGACAGTCTTTTCTTATTTCCACCTTCTGAGGCCTAATGCTTTGGTTTTCAATTATGCTTCCCAGATATTGGAAAGGTTTCTTTCCGTACCTTCTCTGGAGCAATTCTTAAGCCCCATTTAGGGAGCTCCTCTTCTAATTGGGAGAACATGGCCAAGGTCTGTTCTTCCCATGGACTTGCTAAGAGCAAACCATCCATGTAATGGATAATGTAACATTGGGAATATTTGTCCCTTAAAGGCTGAACAGCTTGAGCCACATGTTTTTGACACAAAGTAGGGCAATAGGCCATTCCTTGAGGTAAAACCTTCCATTGATATCCTTTTTTTTAAAATAAATTTTTATTGTTCATATTATTACAAATGTTCCTTCCCCTCCCCTTCCCCCCATTGCTCTCCTCCACCAGGTTCCCACCCCACCCTCTGCCCTTTCCCCACTCCCCATTGTCCTCATCCATAGGTGCACAGTTTATGTTCAGTCTCTTCCCACATCCCCCCTCCCCTTTCCCCCAAGA